CAAACCCTTAGCCCACAACCAGCTAGAGAAAAATACCACAACCACCTACACAATCAACACTCCCCGTTGCTCGTGCTGGAGGTGGCTGAACACCACTGGGCAAAATCCTTCACTTCACTCCCCCTTGCACAGGGAGGGGCGCCATCCACAGCATGAGGTCGTCAAGGCAGAGAAGCACCAGTCCTCCCACATCCTGCTCAGGCACCATGCTGACATGGGGCTGCATCCCCATCAAGGACATGCACACACCATGCCGCTCAAAAGGGAGGGGTTTGGTGAGTATATCTGCTGCTTGACGGTTGGTGGGGCACCACCGGAGGATCACCTCGCCGCACGCCACCATCTCCCTGATGAAATGCCACCGAACCTGCATGTGCTTGGTGCGGCCATGCAAGCATGCATTCTGTGCAAGGGCAATGGCAGACTGGTTGTCCACAAACACAGGCACACCACCAGCAAACTCATGCCCAAACTCCCCGAACGGGCGCTTCAGCCACACACCCTCCTGAATGCACTGACACAGACTGATGTACTCACTCTCAGTGGTGGACAATGCAACCACCGGCTGCCTCTTGCTCTGCCAAGAGATGGCTGCACCATTAAGGCAATAGACATAGCCGGTCTGACTCTTGCGATCAGCTGAATCTCCAGCATAATCAGCACCACTAAAGCCCACCAACTCAACCTGAGGCTTGCTGTGTGCGGGGTAGAAGATACCTGACTTGACACAACCTTTCAGGTACCTTAGCACTCTCTTAGCAGCCTGCAAGTGAAATGCCTTGGGACAAGACACCACCTTGGACAGCTGTGACACTGCATAAGCAATCTGGGGCTGTGTGGTCGTGCTTGCATACATGAGAGACCCCACAATGCTTTGATAGAGCTGGACCAGCTCATCTCGCAGCAAGGGCTCCTCAGCATGTGCATGCACGTCGAACCCTGTAGGGAGAGGGGTACGCATGGGGTTAGCCTCAGAAAGGCCAAAGGTCTCAAGCATGTTGAGAATGTACCTCTCCTGATGAATCAAGATGCCACTCTCATCACGCTCAATCTGCACCCCCAAATAGTACTTAGCCTCCCCCAAGTCCTTCATGCGGAAACGAGAGGACAAGAGACCCTTTACCTCGTCCAGCAAGACCATGCTCGAAGACATGAGCAGAATGTCATCCACATAGAGGTAGAGGGACAGCCTGCCCTCACGCCTCACCAAGTGGTACAAGGCGGGGTCACACTCCGACCTCTCAAACCCAAAATCCATCAGCGCCTCATCAAACTTGAGGTACAACTGCCTTGGAGCTTGCTTTAGCCCATAGATTGATTTCCTGAGTCGGCAAACTCTGCCGGACCCATCATCAAAACCAGGTGGCTGCCTCATGTAAAGCTCCTCCTTCAAGACTCCATGAAGATAGGCAGTGGTCACATCCATGTGATGGATGTGAAACCCCGAGGATGCTGCCATCCCAAGGGAACCTCTCAGGGTGGTAGGTTTACCCACCGGGGTATATACCTGGTCATAGTGAACGCCTCGTGTTTGAGTGTTCCCCATGGCCACCAACCTGGACTTAGGCCTCTCAATACTCCCATCAGCCATGTGCTTATACTTCCACACCCACTGACACCTCAAGACCTCCATTCCAGGTGGCACACAAGCTGGATCAACCAGCTCAAAAGACTCGTTCACCCTATGAGACTCAAGCTCCTCACGCATGGACTCGACCCACTCAGGACGGGACAAGGCCTCCTTGACCGACTTAGGCTCATGCACCTGACCCATGAGACAGAAATCAAGCCCAAGCTCAACCCCCTCAGCATCCACAAGCATGCACTCCTCCAAATCATGCACCTCATGATCATGCATGCAAGCATACTGTGCACTTGGTGTGAACCTTTCAGGTGGCCGGGAGATGCGTGTGGTGCGGCGCAGAGGTGATGCCTCCCCCTGATCCAAACTTTGCAGCTTCTCCTTCCAAGTCACTCTCTTCATGGGGGACCGTGGTGACTTGGACAGCTGTTGCTGCAGTAGTTGCTGCCACCTACCCACAGGAACAGGCGGTGCATGCTCCTGTGGTGGCTGCTGCGGCTTCTCTTGTTGCTGCTGCTGTGAGTCATGGGCTGGTGCGTTAGGGTCAGGGGTAGAACCAGCAGTTGGTGACTCCTCATGGTGAGGTGCAGCTGCCTTTTGTTGCTCTTGCTGCTCCTCTACCTCCTCTCCAGGGTCCTCCCATGCCCCCTCAAAGATGGAAGAGGTGTAGGGATCCTGGAGGGAGCTCCCAACTGTACTAGCACCATGCTCCTTCCACCCCTTGTAGCTCAGCCCCTCGTGGAAAACCACATCCCTACTTTCCAACACCCGCTGATCCACCACACTCCACAACATCCAAGCTTTGCTCCTCTCCGACACCCCGAGAAAAATGCCCCATTGTGCCTTAGGATCCAGCTTCCTCCGTTGCTGGTCGGGCACTTTGTACTGCGCCATGCACCCCCACACTCGTGCCATGGACACACTAGGCACCTTCCTGGTCCACATGAAGTAAGGGCTCTTGCCCCCTAGCCCCTTGCTGCCCATTCTGTTCTTAACCCAGTTGGCATATTGCACTACTGCCCCCCACCAAGTATGGTCTAGCTGCGCATGAGCAAGCATGGCTCGGGCAAGGTCAATGAGGGTCCGGTTTAGCCGCTCCGCTGCCCCATTTTGCTGCGGCATGTAGGCAACTGAAAGCTGGTGGGTGATGCCCTTGTCTTCAAGGAAAGACTCCAGATCCTTCCCCATGTACTCCCCACCCCGATCAGACCTTAGTATCTTCACCTTCGCCCCGGCTTCCCTCTCTGCATAGCGTATCCAACGCTTGAAGACCTTGGCCACCTCATCCTTGGTTTTCACCAAGGTAACCCAACTTAGGCAGCTGAAGTCATCCAAGAAGGTGATGAAGTATTTGCTGCTCTTCTCCCTATCCAGTGTTTGCATGAGGCCACACACATCCGTGTGCACCAACTCAAGAGGTGCGTAGGCTCTAGTGGTGGAGGTAGGGAAAGAGGTCCTTGGCAGCTTCCCGGTCGTGCAATCAGGGCACTTGCTTGGCTGCCCGCCACCCTCCTTGATCTCCACACCCTTCAGCTCCCCCTTCTTCACACACTCCACAAGTTGCTGCCTTCCTGCATGCCCCATGCGTAGGTGCAGCAAATCTGCCGTCACCTGCTCCACGTCCCTCCAACGGGTGCTACACGTGGCTTCCTCGGCTTCAACACCATGTGCCCTCTCCACCTGAGGCACACAAACTGGAACAAGGTATAGACCCTTCTCTAATTTGGCCTCCATCACCACAGCTCCACCCTTGCAAACCGTGCCACCTTCCATGGTGAAGGTGCATATGTATTCTTGCCTCGCAAGTTGAGAGCATGAGAGAAGGTTGGCTGCCAATTCAGGAACATGAAGCACACCCTTCACATTCAGCACCTCCCCCTCCTTCCCCTTGATGGTGATGGTGCCGATGCCGATTGCTTGCAGCGTATCTCCGCTCCCCACAATCACATTTCTGGAGTTAGGTGGGAGGGAGTGATAGGTGGTGAAGAGGTCGCGCTGAGGTACCATTCCACAGGTTGCTCCAGAGTCTAGAATGAGCTGATTGGGGTCAGCCAACGTACGACCAGCAAGCGCCGTCTCCTTCTCTAAGGATAAGAAGGAGAAGCCATCATTCGATAAGTCCTCCTTTCCCTTCTTTGTAGAATTCCACTACTACAGCGGCTTGATAGAGCTCAGAAGCACGATTCCAACGCACCAAAGATTGCAGGAAACGGTCCACTATATCCAGAGTTACACACAAACATAGCAGTGATAATGACTTGGTTGATTTCTGGTTTGTGCTCTCTGGATTTATACTAGGACGCAATACAAAATAAAAGCACACAAGAAAGTGTCGACCCGGGTCGCACGTTGAATTTCGTCGACGCGAAATTCGGAGCCTTGAATTTCGCCGAGCAAATTCCATTGACTGGAATTCCGTAGACGAGAATTTCCGCGACAAGAATTCCGTCGACCACCGACTGTAACTCCCGTGCGAATTCCGTTGACTTCGACACTTCGCTGCTGAGTTTCAAACCGAACGCGACCCGAGATTGATTTCGCCAAACTGTCCCCAATCTGTCCCCAAACTGTCCCCAAACTGTCCTGACAGGTCACTTTCGGGACACTTGAATCGAAAGGTCTCCAGTTCGAAACTCGTGTGCACCATAACCTGCGCCTTAGCAAAAACTGTCCTGAATCTGTCCTGAGACACTTTCAGGACAGATTTGAAGGTCACGAGTTCGAATCCCAGCGCAGACATTTTGTTGCTCATGGCAGCATTTCCTTCTAACACGCCCCCTTGCTGTCAGGAGCACGCTGGACCAGCCCGGCTGCTGCACAGCATCGGTTGAAGACTGCCTTGTCGAGCCGCTTCGTGAAGAAGTTTGCGGGCTGCGCCATCGTAGGGATGTGCTGCACCTCCAACTTCTTCATGCGCACCATGTCCTGTAGCCACATGTGGCGACGGTCCACATGCTTCATGCGCCCCTGCAGCCCGCCCGCCTGGCTGAGCTGCACCGCTGCCATGTTGTCGACGTACATGGTGGTGGGGACACCCTTCTTGAGCAGTTGAAACTCCCACAGCAGGAACCTTAGCTTGCGCCCCTCCTTTCCCGCTTCCACCGCAGCCACAAGCTCGCTCTCGGTGGAGGAAAGTTTGGTCGCACCCTGTAGCTTCTTGGCCTGCCATGAAACGGCAGCTCCGCCAAGCTTGAAGAGGTAGCCTCCCGTGGACGACCGGTTCTCCTTGTCGCCTGCATCATCTACATCCGCATACCCTACGAGAGTCGAACTCTCTGGTCCTCCCTTGAACAGCAGCCCCTTGTCCGGTGAGGCAGCCTAGTAGGAGAGTGTGCGGAAGAGCTCATGCCAATGCGCATCCGTCCTGAGGTGTGTACCTGCTGCAAGGCGGTTGGTCATGGTGTGATCGGCAAACAGCTCAGCATCCTCCATGACAAAGCTGGTAGAGGAGAGAGGGGTGATCGGCTGCTTCTTCGGTGGCGCCCCCTTGAAGAACCGCTGCTGCACCTTCGCCACATGCATTCTGGTGCAGGAGGAGTGTCTTGTTGGGGTGGTCGCACACAATCTGCAGACCAAGATAGCCTTCCGTGGATGACATGTAGTCCACCACGAGGAGACCTTTGTCCACCACCTTGCCTTCAGGTCCGGTCAAGGTTACCTCGAGGTTGATGATGATGCTCCTCAATCCCCCTTCCTCCTCATCAGCCTCATCCAAGTACTCCACATTATAGTAGATGTCCTTGCCATAAGCACCTCCAGCAAGGAATGCAATGCCGTACATGTTGTTGCCATCAACCGCATCCAAGGCTGTCATGGTGGATGCGGGAAGCCGAACAGGTGGCATACCCTTGTTGGACCTGCTAGAATGACATGGGGGTGGGGGAGTGGGCTGGAGGGGCGGAACCGTGGGTATGGGGTCCTTCCCATGGGTTGCCGCCGATTTCAGGTCCGTTGCCTCTCCTTCCTTGTCTTCATCAGCCGCACGACGTCCATCCGCAGAGGGACCAACCTCTGGTCCCACAGGTGCCAAGCCAGCAGCTAAGGATGGACAGAGAGCTGGCGGAGCCATGGTTGCGTTGCTGCCCACATGGTCAACCGAACGATCAAACGGTTGTTCGCCCCCTTGCACGGACGGCACTGGGATTATGATGACGATACGTGACGGCGGCTGGTTCTGCTCAGGGCCATGGACCATCCCAAGAACCTCCCCCTCTCGCTCGTCAGGCAGCGGAAGCGTTTGACGAGTGAGTTTGGCTTCTTGGGAGGAGGCGCTCGACGTGTCCTCCCCTCCTTTCTCTAGGTCCATGCCTAGCATGCCACTGTTTGTGGCTGTCCACTGCACCGCACCAGCATGGTCATTCTCAAGGTGAGTGTGCCGCAGGTTCGGTCCCCACTGCATATGTTGTGAGGTTGGCCGCTTTGTCATTCTCTTCCGGCGCGCTTGACACCACCTCAGAAAATGTCTTAGGCATACCATTGCATGCCACCTCAGCCGCCATGCCATTGCATGCCGCCGTATTGTTGCATATTGCTGCAGCCACCGTGCCGTTGCATGCCGCCGCAGCCGCCCTGCCGTTGCATGCCGCCGCAGCCGCCCTGCCGTTGCATGCCGCTGCAGCCGCCGTGCCGTTGCATGCCGCTGCAGCCCCTGTGCTGTTGCTCGCCACTCCACCCGCCATATTGGTGCATGCCGCTGCAGCCGCCGTGCCGTTGCATGCCGCTGCAGCCGTTGCACCGTTCCTTGCTGGCCCCGGTTTCAGGTCAAGGCAGTGAAGGCGATGGCGGTATCGTGCCGTTGCAGCCACTTGACCTCCTGATGCGATGATGCGAGTGACACCTTCCTCGGTTTGCAGCTTTGCTCCCTTGTCCAAGAGCTGCCCAAAGGAGACCAAGTTGGCCGTCATTTCTGGCACAAAGAGGACATCATGTAGGGTCACACGCAAACCGTTAGTGCCCTACAGCAAAACCTCACCAACACCGGCAACTTCCTGCGTAGAACCATCAAACCCTGTGACTGATTTCGTTGCAGATGGGTCGCGGATCACCGTGAACCACTCCTTGCGGCCGGTCATGTGTTGGGAGCATCCTGAGTCAAGGAACCACAAGTCCTTGTCGTCGGCCAGCAACTTTGCCACACCCTTCCCGTCTCCTTCAGCTACATTCGCGGCTGCCGCATGCGTTGTATCTTTCTTCTTGTTGGGGCACTTGGCAGCCATGTGCCCCTCCTCATTGAAGTTGTAGCAGCGCCCCTTGAAGGGGGCTCGCATCTTCTCCCGCTTGCCATCCTTCTTCTTGTCCGTCTGCTCCCTTCCCCCTTTTCCTTCCTTCCCGTTGACCTCCGTTGTAGCCATGATGGTGTTGACAGCGCCCGAGAAAGCAGATACACCGCTGGTGATCTGCTTGTAACTCTGTTCGATGGAGAGAGTCTGCTCCTCCATCAACACCTCGCTGCACACGCGTTCCACCGTCATGTCAGGGCTGGAAATTTCGAGCTTGCGGCGAAGAAATCCGTACTCTGGTGGCAGGCCCTTCAGCATGTGAGCGGCAAACGTAGCCATGAGGACCTCCTATCCAATGGTCAGCAGCTCCGCTCGGATGGTGCGGGCCCTATTGCAGTAGGATTCCGCCGTCTCATCATCTCCCTTCCTGAGTTGGGCTAACTGGGTCTGAAGAAGGGAAGCGTGGAGGGCATCACGAACTTGATAAGTAGATAGGATATATGCCCATGCTAGCTGCCCGGCTTTCTCTTGATGAGAGAAACCAGAGATGGACATTCGGATGGGTGGAGAAACACATCGGTTCAGCACCATGAATGCAAGCATTTGGCCCTTTGCGTACTCCCTTCGTTGCAAGGGGTTGTTCGGGGCTGGGCTTGGTGCTGTCCCGTTGCAAAACTGCCACAAATCAGCACACTAGATCTGAGGTCGGATGGCGCTGACCCACGCGGTAAGGTCGTGCCTTCCCCCCAGCAGCGGCGTCACGGAGATGTGTTCAACTCCAAACTTGAATTGACCGTAGCTCGTCCCGATCATTCCCGTGTTAATGGTCGGTGCAACAGCTCCTCCATCAATGCCCACGGCACCAGGAGCCTCGTGCACAGCTCCTCCTTCACCGATTCCTCCTTGCTGGCCGCTCGCAGGTGCTTGCTCCGCCGCACGCTCCCGAACCTTGCGTAGTAGACGACCGTCCACAATGAGGTCGACAACCTCATCACGCAAGTGAGGGTGGTGCTCACGAACGGACGCCTCCATCTCCTGACGGTCATTCAGGCCCTCAGCGCTCGTTAACCACTCCATGCGCGGTCAAAACGAGCGTCGGCCACACCAACGTAGGAACGAAGTGACGGGAGGACGGAATCAAGCCGCTAGTTGGATCAACGCAGATAACGCAGCTCTGATACCATGTAGAATATCACTACTACAGCGGCTTGATAGAGCTCAGAAGCACGATTCCAACGCACCAAAGATTGCAGGAAACGGTCCACTATATCTAGAGTTACACACAAACATAGCAGTGATAATGACTTGGTTGATTTCTGGTTTGTGCTCTCTGGTTTTATACTAGGACGCAATACAAAATAAAAGCACACAAGAAAGTGTCGACCCGGGTCGCACGTTCATCGACGCGAAATTCGGAGCCTTGAATTTTGCCGAGCGAATTCCATTGACTGGAATTCCGTAGACGAGAATTTCCGCGACAAGAATTCCGTCGACCACCGACTGTAACTCCCGTGCGAATTCCGTTGACTTCGACACTTCGCTGCTGAGTTTCAAACCGAACGCGACCCGAGATTGATTTCGCCAAACTGTCCCCAATCTGTCCCCAAACCGTCCCCAAACTGTCCTGACAGGTCACTTTCGGGACACTTGAATCGAAAGGTCTCCAGTTCGAAACTCGCGTGCACCATAACCTGCGCCTTAGCTGAAACTGTCCTGAATCTGTCCTGAGACACTTTCAGGACAGATTTGAAGGTCACAAGTTCGAATCCCAGCGCAGATATTTTGTTGCTCATGGCAGCATTTCCTTATAACATTCTTATCCTCGTTTGCCACCGCTGCTGCCGCTTTCTCAGTCCTATTGACAGGTGGAGCCTCTCCTGGGTACCCTTGAGGCTTCCACCCATCTGGTCGGCTCCAGCACTCCTTCCAAGAGTGCTTCCGGTTGCATCCAGGGACGAGGCACTTGTCAAGCTCCTTCTTCTTCCCCCCACCTCCATGCCGCTGCTGGTATTTCTTGGATGCAGCCCTATCACCTGCCCCCATTCCCCCTTCAACTCCTCTACCAGCATCCCGTTTGTGAGCCTCATCAGAGACCAACACCTCCCCTATCCAGGCCTTGATCCATTTCTGTTGCTCAAGGTGAAGGTACTGCAGTAAGGCCTCGTTCGCCTCTTGGTCCAGCCCCTGGAGTGCGGTGTAGATGATCTCTGTCTCATCTACAGTGTAGTTCAACTCCTCTAAGGCTCTCACATACTCATCCACCCTCTGGAGATACTGCACCATGGTCTCCCCATCCCCATAGTTGCGTTCCATGGTGTAAAACCGCTTCCTCCAGGTGAGTATGCTTAGCAGCCCTTTTTGCAAGTGCCGATCTTGAACTCTCTTCCATGCTTGGGCAGCTGCTCCTTGCTTCCCCTTCAGGTCAATCAGCATCTTTAGGAGCTCTAGTTGGCCTTCCAAGGCCCAACACAGGTACTGGAACGCTTGCTTGTCCTTGCGGTCCCATGCTTCCTGTGCCTTAACAATCTCCTCCGCACTAGGCCGTTGCCTTCCGGTTCGCGGTGCTGCTGATCCACCTCCACTTCCCTCAGTTATGGATGAGCTAGAGGCTCCCCCAGCCCCTTCTCCCACTTGGCTAGAGATTCCAGTAGATGCCTTTCCTTCATCAGCTTCAGGTCTTCGCTCCGATCCCTCCAAAACGCCCTCTAGGTCTTTAATACCTAGCCAAAGCGTAAACTGGAATCGCCATAGCGAAAAATCCGAGCCGGTGAACGTAGGAGGGCCATCTAATTTCTGGGCCATAACCGACCCTAGATCTGGAGGTTCTTAAGCCAATTCGAAATATGATAATAGGAGGGAGTGTCGCAGGCCTAACCAGCTCTGATACCACTGATGGAAAGCGAGCGAATCTGGAGAGCGTACAAGAGATTAAGTCCGCCGACTTCGACGGAACATTGCGTGCAGCTCACGTAACCTTAAACTATGAGAAGGTACGCGTTGGAAACGACTTAATCTCTACTTTTCAGAATGGTAACGCATGCCTTCAACCAAGATCTAGGCCGATCGGTATCCCGATTTAAGTGCGACGGGGTATCCTGGCGAAATTACTTGGCAGCCATGGATTAGATCAAGAAAGTAGCTTTAGCAAGAGTTCAGATCTGCAAAGTGACGAGTTGTTCAAACCCTACCAACCCAACCCTCGCCCTACAACAATCCCCAACAACCCAAAGTAATAAACTAGCAAAACCAAAGGTGTTGTAGTGAATAGCAAAGGTTTGATGGTGCTTGTTGGGTGCGAGATCAATTCCAGCCCGCAACAAGTCTAACCACCACATTTTGCCCAAACCCTTAGCCCACAACCAGCTAGAGCAAAGTACCACAACCACCTACAAAATCAACAGTAGACACCTACGGCTGTCCATGCGCCGAGGTACCTATCTTCCTCAAGCTCCTGGCAGACACAGCGGCTCGGCGCCACTTCAATGCCGACTCAAAATCCTACTATGCCGCCAAGTTTCTGCACCAATTCAGGGATATGCAATCATGTTACTATTAGCAGTTTAGTGCCCTGTTTGTATTTTTTACTCCTGTTTGTATTGAGAGAGAGAGAGAGAGAGACAGAGAGAGAGAGAGAGAGAGAGAGAGAGAGAGAGAGAGAGAGAGGATCCTAGCCTCTGCCCTCTCCCCTTTAGCCCTCTGCCCTCTCCTTTGTGAGCTATATAAGAGGCCCCTCTGGGCCCCTTCATCTCATTGTTGAGTTGGCGCAGAAAAATTTCGCTCGTTCGAGAGAGCGAGAGAGAGAGAGAGAGGATCCTAGCCTCTGCCCTCTCCCCTTTAGCCCTCTGCCCTCTCCTTTGTGAGCTATATAAGAGGCCCCTCTGGGCCCCTTCATCTCATTGTTGAGTTGGCGCAGAAAAATTTCGCTCGTTCGAGAGAGCGAGAGAGAGAGAGAGAGGATCCTAGCCTCTGCCCTCTCCCCTTTAGCCCTCTGCCCTCTCCTTTGTGAGCTATATAAGAGGCCCCTCTGGGCCCCTTCATCTCATTGTTGAGTTGGCGCAGAAAAATTTCGCTCGTTCGAGAGAGCGAGAGAGAGAGAGAGAGAGGATCCTAGCCTCTGCCCTCTCCCCTTTAGCCCTCTGCCCTCTCCTTTGTAAGCTATATAAGAGGCCCCTCTGGGCCCCTTCATCTCATTGTTGAGTTGCCGACGCGGGGACGGCAAGTGACAACACACACAGTGGTTCATAATCGAAATCAGTACAAGCATGGCATTTGCTACGGTAGCCTAGCCAAGCAAAACAAGCATGGGGCAAACGGAGCCCGCGACTACATGCGGTGAGCTCCAAGGGCGTGAAGAACGCCCGTCAGGGAGCGCCACAGCTCCCGGACCACAAGCGTGCTTGCGCCGATCGCGGCGGCTCCAGAACCTGCACGCAAATGGCGCCTCAGGCTGCGTACAGCCTCATCAAGCTGCCCAGCAGCCGCAACTCCACCCTCTACGGGTGCAGCCAGCACGGGCGCCAGCAGCACTGCGAGCTGGTCGGCTGCGTCCAGGCACGACTCACGGAGGCGATCCTGGAACGTCTTAGGGGGAACTGCAGGAAGTGACGAATGCGCGAGAACCTGTATCAGGAGCAGAGCGTGAAAGCTCTCCGCGAGGCGAAAGAGCTGGGCGAGAGTCGCCTCTGGAACACGGGACTGTGGAGGCTGTAATGCCTGCGCCAGAAACTGAAACGGCTCCTCGAGGGCAGGAGTTGCTGAACCGCCAACTCCAGGATGAGGATACTGCGCTCCTCCTCCCACGGCCACAAATTCAACTCCCGCCACAGGCGGAACGGGTGGGAGACGAAGCCGAGACCCAGGAACAGGAGCAGAGGCAGAAACAGCGGGAGCCGACGGGGCCGGATTCTGATGAGGGACGGGTGCAGCAGGCGGCGGATCCACAGGAAGTACAGCCTGTCGAGGAGCAGCACGTGCCACGACAGCGTGAGAGCTGCCCTGGGACAGGGCGGCCCTCTCCTCACGCACCGCAGTTGACACCGCTCGCTGCAGATCCGCCATCCTCACGGGCGGATCGTACGCCCCACCACCTCCGCGACCGCGGGGACCCCACCAGCCACCGCGGCCGCCGTGGTTCGCGTGCCACTGGGCCTGCTGATGCGGGCGACGGGGAGAATTGCGCCGGCGCCGTGAGGACTGACGATCCTGCTGGGGAGCGAGAGAATGAGGGCGAGATGGGCGGCGGCCAGGTGACGGCGGGCGAGACAGCTGCGCCACAGGAGCAGTCGGTGGCACAACAGGTGCAGCCGGACCCCCAACCGGCGGCGCAACCAACGGGGCCGGGCCGCCAGTGGTGGCGGACGCCGCCTGCGGGGACGAGGCAGAGGCAGGTGTCAGAATGTTGTATTTGTCTAGCCTGCAGTGGGGTACTCTATAGCGAGTACAGCCCAATCTAGGGTTTCCTATATGTACTCAACTGCTTGCTAGTGAACCCTCTCCTTTCTTCTTCATTCTTTCTTTCTACTACTACTTCTGACATGCTATCAGAGCAGGTTGATCCCCTTGGGTCGATCCTGTGGGTGGGCCCACCACCTCACTGCTTCCGCTGCTACTGCTACTCTGTGTGTTGCACGCCCCGTGGCGTGCGACGGATTTTTCATCCCGCCGCGCGCTCGGAGCGTGCGGCGGTTTTCTGCCCGCCGTGCGCCCCGAGGCGCGCGGTGGTTTTCTGCCCGCCGTGCGCCCCGAGGCGCGCGGCGGCTTTCTGCCCCGTCACTCTGCGCGTCGCTCCCGGGAGGCGCTGCGACGGGCGACGAAGACCCGCCCGTACGGGCTGCGCCAGGCCCGTGCGCGGCCCGTACGGGCTGCGCCAGGCCCGCGCGCGGCCCGTACGGGCAGCGCCAGGCCCGCGCGCGGCCCGTACGGACTGCGCCAGGCCAGGGCGCGCCTCGGGCCGCCCGCACGCGGTTCGTACGGGCTGCGCCAGGCCCGTGGGCGCCCTGTTTTCTCTGCCCCTGCGCTGCCCGCTGTCCCCC